CCTGCTGACCGACCTGGGAGAGCCGACTCGTTCTCCTCCAGTGCTGTACGTCGACAACAAGGCCATGATTGCCTTGTGTCAGGAGCACAGACTGGAGCACAGCGCTCTGCGCTACTTCCTTGCTCGAGAGTTGCAGCAGCGTGGTCAGCTTCGTCTTGCTTACGTGGCCACTCGGGCCAACACTGCTGATGTCTTCACCAAGGCGCTTCAGCCTTGTGATCATCAGCGTTTTTGTACTGTTCTAGGCCTTGTGCCTACTGTGCCTCACTTGCTTACTTCTTGACTCTGCTTGTACTGTGATCTCTATACCTATACCTGCATGCTTGCACTTGCTAGGTTGTGATCACTGTATTGCTTGTTTTCCTTTATATAACTCTGCATGTGAACCGGCCTTGTGGCCATTTGCTTGTGCTCAGACTGCGTGGTGACGTCGTGATCCACCCTAAGCTTGCTTTGCCTTTCTTGACCGGTCTTGTGACCTCTTGTTCTCCCCCACTTTGCCTATGGGGGTGTGTCAAAGTTATATGCTATAGTCTGTGTAGGCTATAGTGGGGTAGTTCATATAGGGTACAACACTTCTATGTTTCCTACTTGTACCCAACTGCTTGCTCAATCAATCACTCCTTCCTTCACTATTCTGACACGTGCATGCGTTCAAGGTCTGGCGCTGTTACTTGACCGGCGCAGACGTGATAGTACGGACAGACCACAGATCCCTACAGTACCTCCGCGCACAGCCCCACCTCAACCCACGACAGATTCGCTGGCTCGATTTCCTCGAGTCCAATTTCCACTACACGGTCACCTATAAAAAGGGAGCATCGAATATTGCCGACGCACTGACCCGCCCAACTGCCCAGATCCACGCCATACTACTCGCACAGACCAGCCCGCTACTGACAGGCCTATTTACCCACGGGTATCAGACAGACCCCTTCTTTACTGGAGGCAACTCACAGCAGTTCGAGCAGCAAAAGGGGTATACTACGTAAAAGCCAGCACCGACCGCATCTGGGTACCGGGCTACACTTTACTAAGGGAACTGTTACTACAGGAGGCACACGACGGGGTTACCTCAGGACATTTCGGAGTAGAGAAAACACGGCAGCAGCTGCAGCGGTATTACTACTGGCCCGAGATGCTGACCGACGTGCAACGACACGTGGCATCGTGTCCCACCTGCCAGCTCATGAAATCGTCACGACAACGACCGGCAGGACAGCTGCAGCCGATACCACCCCCAGAGCGTGCTTGGCAGCAGGTGACGATGGACTTCGTCACGGGGTTACCGGCTGGGGCAAGTGGGAACGACGCGATCTTGGTCGTCGTCGATCGGCTGACAAAAATGGCACACTTCGCAGCCTGCAAGAAATCAATCACAGCCGAAGAAACAGCTCGGCTCTTCATCGCCACCATCGTTCGACTTCACAGGATACCAGCGGCGATCGTCAGCGACCGTGACACGAAATTTACCAGCAACTTCTGGCGGAACCTGTGGCAGCAGTTCGGCACAAGACTACAGTTCAGTTCATCATACCACCCCGAAACCGACGGACAGTCAGAACGGACAAATCAGACCATGGAATAGCTCATCCGAGCCACGTGCGACGACCCGACCACGTGGGAACAGCAACTGCCACTCATCGAGTTCGCGTACAACAACTCGCCATCTGCCACGACCCAACAGTCACCATTTTACCTGAACTACGGACAAGACCCCACAGTACCCATGACCCCGAATCCCGACAACCCAGTCCCACGCGCACAACAGTTCGCAGAAATACTGCAAGCAGTACGGACCCGAGCAGCAGAAGCAATAAAAAAATCAAACATCATCGCTAAGCGCAACGCCGACCGACACCGCCGTCCCGTCACTTACCAACCCGACGACCTGGTATTACTCGACGCCCAAAACCTCCGCCTGCCCATCACCCCAAAACTCCGCCCCCGATATTGCGGGCCATTTCGCATCAGCCACATGATCACACCCGTCACCGCCCACCTCCTCCTCCCTGCTGACTGGTACGTCAGCCCGTCATTTCACGTCAGCCTGCTTCGCCCATACGTGCCATCCACCAGCCAACTGCCTCGCAACCGCCCCGCCAGCATGACACGACCACCGACAGAGCCAATCATCATGCCCGAAAAAATACTGAGCCACCGAGTACGTGACCCACGGGGAGCCCGCAGGAGCGAATTCCTCATCCGCTGGAAAGACCGCACGCCCACCGAAGACAACTGGGTTCCCCTGGACAGAATTGAGAATCACCCTGTCATGACTGAGTATCTGCGTAGCCGAAACTTTCGAGATGTACATGCGCTCTCGTAAGAGGGGCCTCCTTGGGGAGGGGGGTAGTGTAAGGAAAAATCATTTTCCTTACTTCGCGTCCCTGCTTACCGCGTACATGACCGTTCCCGCCATCGGCACCTATCCTCTCAAGAGTAGAATGCAACGGAATGGTGAGTTTAGGAAACAAGGCAATACAAATAGGCAACCCTAACTGTGTTATACTCTCTAAGGAGCAACTCACTACAGCCTATCACAAATATCAACATTTGACACACCCCCATAGGCTAAGTGAGGGGCACTAGAACAAGTAGGGTGAACAAACGGTCACAAGACCAGTCAGCAAGAAGCAAAACAAGCTCAAGGTGGATCTCAAGGACACCACACAAATTCCGAGCGCAAGCAAGCGGCCACAAGGCCAGTTCAAGAGTTCACTAGGATATATATAGGAAAGCACAACAAGCAGAGCAAGCAACAAGACTACAGCAACCGAGGGCCTACCTCAACAAGCCCCAACTGCACACAGAACCTGTGGTGGTCACCAAGCGCTAGGGCCTTGGTGAAGACGTCTGCAGTGTTGGCCTCTGAGGCCACAAAGTCCAGGCGTGCCTGGCCGCGTCGCTGCAGCTCTCGCAGGAGGAAGTACCTCACGTCAATATGCTTCACTCTGCTCTCCAGTCGAGGCTCTCGACAGAGGAGGATCATGGCCTTGTTGTCAGCGTACAAGGTCGGTGCAGAGCGAGGCCGCTCACCAAGGTCGGCGAGCAAGAAGGTCAACCAGCGAAGCTCCTGTGCCGCCATGGCACCAGCGTAGATCTCTGCCTCTGCACTGGAAGTAGCCACAGACGACGACCGTGTAGACCTCTATGACACAGCACCAGCTCCCAGACTGAAGCAGTAACCCTGAGTCGAGCGCTGAGTCTCCACGTCGTCAGCGTAGGAAGAGTCGCAGTGACCAGTCAACGCCACTGGCTGAGTCCCTCCAAGTACAAGCCCCATGCCCGATGTAGTCGCCAGGTACTTCGCCACCCTCACAGCAGCTGTCCAGTGGACAGGACGGTGTCTCCCAGTCGCAACAAAGCGAGAAAGTATGCTGAGGGGAAAGGCGAGGTCCGGCCGAGTACAAGTCATCAGGTACATGAGGCAGCCCACCAGCTCTGCGTAGGGACCACTGGGCTCAAATGGCTCGTCGGGAAAGGTGCCAGTGAGTCTGTGGTCAACAGCAAGAGGTGTGGGCTGTGTGGTGGAGAACTGGAAATCGAACCGCCGAAGGACCTGCTGCACCATATGTGACTGAGTCAGTGTGATGGTGCGAGCGGCTCTGTCCCTGGTGATCTGCAGGCCAAGGTAGCGCTGCAGTTCACCTAGGCCAGTGCACTTGTGTCTCTTCTGCAGTTCGGACTTCACCTGAGCCAGAGCTGCCCTGTCTGCTGTGGCAAAGACCAAGTCGTCGACGTACACTAGTATAAAGAAAAGAGTGGAACCAGTGCGAACAAACAGCGACGGGTCGGCAGAGGAAGGACAAAACCCAAGGTCACAAAGCGTGGAGCGAAGAGTGTCGTGCCACTCACGGGGCGACTGGCGGAGACCGTAAACTGGCCGTCTCAGGCTCCACTGGGTCCCAGGTGGGAAGGTGTCAGTGAAGCCAGGAGGGCGGCGTAGCCAGATCTCCTCGTGTAGTTTGCCCTGGAGAAACGCAGTAGAGAAGTCAAGGGAGTGCAGCTCGTAGTCTCGCTGTGCTGCTACGTGCAGTAACACCCGAAGAGTAGTCATCTTCGGGGTCGGGGCGAAGGTCTGGAAGAAGTCAACTCCCTCACGCTGACTGAAACCCCTAGCAACGTAGCGCGCCTTGAACACAGGCGGTGAACCAGGCGGCCGCTTCACCTTGAAGAGCCACATGCCATCGACTACGTTCGCCCTGGGAGGGGGAACTGTGTCGACGTAGGTGCCTGTGGATCTCCAAGACGCTAACTCCGAGGCCATAGCCGCTTTCCACTGTGAGGCCCACGCCCCTGACACTGCCTCGCGGTAAGTACGAACGTGCGGAGGGCGCGGAGGGCATGGAGGGCACGGAGGGCGCTAAGGCGCGGAGGGCGCTAAGACGCGGAGGGCGCTAGGGCTAGGCTAGGGCTAGGCTAGGGCTAAGGAACTCGAACCTACTCTGATACCATCTCAAGAGTAGAATGCAACGGAATGGTGAGTTTAGGAAACAAGGCAACCCTGGCTGTGTTATACTCTCTAAGGAGCAACTCACTACAGCCTATCACAAATATCAACATTTGACACATCCGTGAAACGTTACCCGCTCGCGACATTCGCATCGACCACGACTCCCGCCACTGTTCACGATGCGACCCAACCTAATGGTTCGGTTGGTAACCCGCGCTCCGGACCTCCGCCTCGACAACTTCCCAAACCTCGGCGCTAGGCCCGTAGTGCACCCCAATTTTTCGCATTACCGTTACCATGCTAGCTTCTCTATATAACTTCGCTCATGCTTTTCGCTCAACTGTATTGTTTTGCTTCGATAGTGCAATTCTCGCTCGCTCACTCAATTGCACACGTAACAGCCGACCTCAAGTGCCGTAGTACACTATCTGCAGCCCATATACACATCAGCTGCACGTGTGCTTCAACATCACATTCAGCAGCGAGAAAAATGAAGGATTATTCAATGAAAACCGCAAAGAGCATCCAGCACAATAGAAGTAAATTAAATTAACAGAAATGCCCACCCAAGAGCATCTGGTAAGAAACACATGCACACAAGGACAGACAGCACTCAAGTTGTGCTGAGCACACTTATTACTGTCTGCATCCTGTAGAACGACACCTGCCAACTCCTTTTCAAACGTTACAAGCCTTATCCAATGTCTTCACTGAAGATGGGCCTACTTCAACTGCGTCCCCTTCCGCTCCCGCAACACAAGCCGTAGAGGCTTAGCCAGTGCCAAAGTGAGACTAAAATCCTCTCCCAAGTCAACTCCACCAGCGGCCAACACATCTTCGGGCAGCTTAAAATCAAATCGTGAAACAATGCTCGCTAGCATGCGTGCTGAAAGATCCAGCCCCAAGTTCATACCTGCACACACCCGCCTGCCCGAACCGAACGGCAGCACACCATAATCCTGCCCGGTCACATCAGGGGCCAATGGGCCGAGAAACCTGCTGGGATCAAAATTATGGGGGTCGATCCAGACCGTTGGATCGTGAGCGAGACCCCAGGCGTTGATCTGAATGATTGTGTCGGGAGGGATGGTGTATCCGCCAATAGAAACACTAGCAGTTGTCATGTGAGGGATGAGGAGCGGTACTGGGGGGTGGTGCCTCAGAGTTTCCTTAATCACTGCTTGGAGGTAAGGCATCTCCTGTACCGGGAGGGATGATTTAGCATTGTGCTGTTTTACATTACATTCTCCTGCTGCTTCCTCCTCCGCTGATACTTCTGTGGCTGATCCAGCTGCTGACTTGGAGTATGCGGCATCCACCTCAGCTTGGAGCCGTTCCAGCATGGCAGGGTGACTTGCCAGCTCAGCAAGGGCCCACTCAACAGTCTTGGCAGTGGTGTCGGTGCCAGCATTGATCAAATCCAAACAGAGCAGCATAATCTCCTCCCTGGTTACCCTATCCTTTCCCGTTACCTGTTCCTCCCCTTGGCTCTCGATTTCCAGCAATGCATCTACCAAAACTCGTTCCGCCACTGACTCTTCTCCTCCCAGCTTCACATCACCTCCCTCTCCTTTCCCTCCTTCCCCATCATTCTTGTGCCACCTTTCTAGTCCCACGTCCTTTTCGCCCTTGTTCCGTTCTTCCACTCCCCGTTCCCCCGCTCTCCCCCTCCGCGTTTCCAGCATCCGCTTTCTCTCCGCAATGCACGCCAGAACATATCCTTCGAAGTGCGGATTGAGCCGCTTCGCGCGAGCGTAGATGCGCTGCGGATCTAGAGGGCTGAGCCAAGGAATAAAATCCGCCAGATTGAATGTTCCCATCACCTGAAACGTCTCATCCACCATCGCAATCACCTTCTCGCCTTCCATTTCGTCCTCCGCAATAGACGCCAACTCGCCGGATTTCGCGCCGTTGATAGCGGCGATGCGACCCTGCCAGTCGGTTTTAATCGCCGCTTCGAGCATTTCCCCTGGTGCGGCGGCAGCAGCGCGATCAACGGTGCTGTAGGTGTAACTCTTTCCGACCGTCAGCCGCAAAATGTTGTTCAAAGTCCCGCGGTTCAAATAGCCCCGCATTTGCACGCCTCTCGGATCCCCGTTATTAGCGACTCTCGCTATCGCGTCAAGCATGTCGCAGATCTCTGCTTCGCGAACCCACAGAGTCTCCTGTAATCCCCGCGAAGACAGGAGATGCAGCTTTGCCATGCGTCGCAACTTTCTCCAATGGTCGTTCGATGGCGAGAAAAAAATGTCCTTTCCACCGTGCGACGCGAATTCGATAAGACGTAGAAGCGGCCGCGAGGAGCAGAACTTATCATGCGTTTTAAGAACCTCGCGGGCCAACTCTGACGAAGTTATAATCACTGATGGAATGGACCCGATCCACACGGTCAGGACCAGACCAAACCTGTCCGCGAGCTTCGCGAGGGAGCGGTACGGCAGGAAGCCCAGGTCTGGAAGGTTGCCTAGGATCGGCCATGGGGAAGGGCCTGGAGGTAAGGAGTATCGACGGCGGAGGAAGGAAAGCCAAGATGCCGAGGCGAACAACGCGACGGCTGCGACTATCACCGCGAAAATTGGCGGCAATGGAAACGAGTTGGTACTAATCACCCATGCGTCAGATGCGGCTACAGCAGACCTAGTGACCATACTTCCTACTGGTTTTGCTCGCAGACTGCCTCACCGCTTCCCTTGCCGCTATGCACTGTGAACCTCGCTAAGGGCAGTCCCCATTTCTATTACAAGCAGTTGAGCACGACAATGCTGCATTACTGAACGGCCTATCTATTCACCACTCTAAACCGTAAATCAACAGCCTGGCATTTCATGTATACACATGAAACATTCACCGACATCGGGAGCCGCCCTAACGGATACAACCAGTGAGTTCAGGGGGTCACGGCTCACGACTCATAACGAAACACGAGGGCTTCGCGGGACATGTTCCCTTTAGCAGCATTTGCAGCTTCGCGTGGCGCGCCCCGTCGTCGCAAAATTCCAAGATTCATAACGATGCCGAAGAGCAACTCGTAGCGGCGAGGTGACTGGTTTCGCACGCATGGGCAGTTCCGTTCGCAGCAATCGGTTCCCTACTTCACAAGCCACAACAAAGTGGGGCTAGGCGACAGAACGAAGGCCGTTGTTACGGGCTTTTGTTTTTTTCCCTCATCTCCCTCCCTCCCTCCCTCTCGAAACTCAACTGGCTGAGATGAGACTCAAGCTCAGCACTGCCAGTTCGAGTTCGTGCTGATTCGAGCTTTGCCTCTCCAGTATATGGATTCTAGTCAAAGACAGCTCCAGCCACAGCAGCTGCTGCTCGGCACTTTATGAGGCAGTTTGGCTCCTCAGCAGCATAGAGTATTCAACTTCCCGAGCAGCTTTTCCCCAGTTGAACCGGTTAAAGCCTTCTCCCCACAGCGTCAAGCTTCATGGAGTCTTTTCGATTAATTGCCGATTCGCATTTTATCATCCCCGCCATTGTCGCCGCCGTCGCGGTTCTCATTTCCACTTCCTGGCTCTCCTTCCTCCGCCGCCGTCGCTCCCTCCCGCCCGGCCCTTCCCCATGGCCCATCCTCGGCAACCTCCCGGACCTAGGACCGCTGCCTTTTCACTCCCTCGCGAAGCTGTCTGACAGGTACGGACCGATCCTGACCGTCTGGTTCGGTTCCACGCCCTCAGTGGTTATCTCGTCGCCGGAGCTCGCTCGAGAGGTGCTTAAAACGAATGATAAGCTCTGCTCGTCTCGCCCGATGACTCGCACATTGGCTATTCTCACTCTCGACGGCAAAAACATCGCGTTTTCGCAGCCCAACGACCGTTGGCGAAAGTTGCGACGGCTGGCGACGCTCCACCTTCTCTCTGCAAAAAAACTGCGGGAGAGCCTTCCTGTGCGAGAGGGGGAGATTCGCGACATGCTTGATGCGATAGCAGCTGATGTGACTAAAGCGGGGGAAGCGGCAGGCGTTGCGAAATCTGCCGCCGCGGGCGAGGGAATACAGCTGCGAAAGTATCTAAACCGGGTTACCCTCAACAACATCATGCGCCTGACTGTCGGAAAGCGTTTCAGCTATTCCTCGATTCGCGGCGCGGCCGGCGTCGCGCCAAAGGCGATGCTCGAAGCTGCGATGAAGATTGACTGGAACGAACGCATCGCCGCAAGGAGCGGCGAGAGGGGTTCGCCGCAAAGCAGTGCTTTAGCGGCGGAAGGTAACTCTCCCTCCTCCTCTTCCAAGTTATCCTCTCTGACAGAAGAGGAGGAGGGAGAGCTGGCGTTTGCGATAATCGAAGAGACTTTTGCTCTTGTCGGAGCATTCAATCTCGCGGATCACGTGCCGTGGTTGAGCTACTGGGACCCGCAGCGCATATACGCGCGTATGCAACGACTGACGCCGCTGCTGCATGGATTTCTGCGCGCATGCATCGAGGAGAGACGACAGCTGCTGAAAAAAAACAAGAATCAAATTCCCATTCGCGACGCGCCGAGTCCGAGCCAGACGGTAGCTGCGGACGGTACTAGCGGCGAATCTGGGGATTTAAGCGCTTTACGTAATGGGGATGGGGCGCATAAGGAGGGGGTGGAGCGGAGCGCACCTGAAGCTGCGCTTGTTGATGCGTTGTTCCAGATCGAAGGGGAGGGAGAAGATGAGATGGATAAAGACGAGATGCTGATGCTCGCGTTTGAATTGATGATGGCGGGGACTGATACCACCACGGTGACGCTGGAATGGGCGCTTGCTGAGCTGGCGCAGCACCCCGACATGCTGGAAAAGGTCCGTGCTGAGGTGGATGCAGCGTATGCCAAGTCAGCAAGTGGAGCCTCCGAAACTGGGGCGGCTGAAGCAGGAGGAACGGATTTCATGGTGTCTCTTCCGGTAGCAGAAATGCCCTACCTGCAGGCTCTTTTAAAAGAAACACTTAGGCATCACACAACGGCCCCCATCCTCATTCCCCACATGACAAGTGATAGCGTAACACTGGGTGGTTACCACATCCCTCCCAACACCATGATCCAGATCAACGCCTGGGCCCTCGCGCACGATTCGACGGTCTGGATCAACCCGCACCAATTTGACCCCTCCAGATTTCTTGGCCCTGATGCTCCTGACTTGACCGGGCAAAATTTCAGCCTGCTGACCTTTGGTTCGGGCAGACGCGGATGCCTTGGGTTGAACTTAGCAATGGACCTGTCTTCCCGCCTGCTGGCGAATTTTGTTCGCCGGTTTGACATTGAGCTGCCCGAAGATGTGCGGGCAGTTGGAGGAGTGGACTTCACAGAACATTTTGCGTTAACCACAGTGCTGGCGAAGCCGCTCAGAGTGGTGTTGAGGGAGAGGAAGCGAGTGGCAGGGACGGTGGTGGCTGTTGCTGGTGCGTGAGCTGCAAGGGGTGATGCAGTAAGGGGTTGAGCTGGTTACGAAGTAACCATAAACGTGTTTTGCATGGGATGGTGTTGGGGGAGCGAAAGGCAGTGGTGTGGTAGGGGCGGTGATGCTGGTGCTCGAGCTGCGGGTGGTTGTGCTTGAGGGGTTGCGCTGGTTACATGGTTACCATGAATGTGTTTTTCACACACAAGACACAAGGTATATTATCTTGTAAATACCTCATCAAGTTTTTTCTGTACTGCTGGTTGCGATGAGAGTGAGGAGTGCGTGCAATGAGAGAGGCACAAGGGCTTTAGGGAGAGGGGGAGGGTGGAGGAAGTGAAGGGGTGCAGCGTGCAATGCAATGATGTCTCGGTCTGCTGAGGCAGACTTGCTTTATTCTGCATGGTTGTTACAGATATTGTTCTTCTTTCTTCTCGCTTGTGTGCATGCTTGCTAACCCAAGTGTCCAGTCCAGTTTTGAGGAGGAGAGGGGTTCTGTTTGCAGATATGTGAAGTGAAGAGAAGAGACGCAGAGCTTCCACGAGCGGCACAAGCACAAGCACAGATGGTATACACACAGAGGCATATGGTACACCCAAGAGCATCTAATGCCAGCACAAGGGCAGATGGCACTCCAGAGTACACTGAACAAACTGATTACTTTCTGCACCCTACACAGCACCTCCCAACCCAGCTCCTTCTCACACCGTGTGGTGCCTTATCCAATGCCTTCAGCGAGAGCCCTCCTATAACTGCGGCTGCTTTCTCTCCGTCAGCACAAGCCTCAGTGGCTTAGCCAGTCCCATGGTAAGACTGAAAGTCTCCCCCAAGTCAACTCCACCAGCATCCACCACATCTTCGGGCAGCTTCAAATCAAACCGCAAAATAATGCTCGCTAGCATACGCGCAGCAAGATCAAGCCCCAGATTCATACCTGCACACACACGCCTGCCCGAACCAAAGGGCAGCACTCCATAATTCTGCCCGGTAACATCAGGGGCTGACGGGCCGAGAAATCTGCTGGGATCAAACTCATGGGGGTTGATCCAGACCGTTGGATCGTGCGCGATACCCCAGGCGTTGATCTGAATCATTGTGTTGGGAGGGATTGTGTATCCGCCAATAGCAACCCTGTCAGTCGTCATGTGAGGGATGAGGAGCGGTGTTGGTGGGTGGTGCCTCAGAGTCTCCTTAATCACCGCTTGAAGATAAAGCATCTCTTGCACTGGGAGAGATGCTGGGAGGTGATGATTTTCAACTCCCTGTTCCCTAATGCTTTCTCCTGCTGCTTCCTCTGCCGCTGCTTCCTCTGTGACTGCTCCAGCTGCTGCTGACTTGGAGTATACGGCATCCACCTCAGCTTGGAGCCGTTCCAGCATGGCAGGGTGACTTGCCAGCTCAGCAAGGGCCCACTCAACAGTCTTGGCAGTGGTGTCAGTGCCAGCATCGATCAAATCCAGACAAAGCAGCATAATATCCTCTCTGGTTACCCTATCCTTCCCCGAATTTCCCGTTGCTGTACCCTCCCCTTGGCCCTCCAACTCCAGCAATGCATCTACCAGCACTCGCTCCGCACCTGACTCATCTCCCCCCAGCTTATCTTCTCCCAACTTCACCTCTCCTCCCTCCCCTTCCTCTCCTTCCTCTCCTTCCAGAATCGAGTCTACCAACGGCCTCTCCCTCACTACCTTCTCTTCCCTTCCCACCTCCTCTCCCCCCCTTCTCCTGTTCAGCATCTGGCTTCTCTCCTCAATGCACGCCAGCACGAACCCTTCAATTAACGGTTTAAGCCGCTTCGCACGGGCGTAAACGCGCTGCGGGTCTAGAGGGCTGAGCCACGGAACGAAATCGGCCAGATTAAATGTTCCCATGACATCAAACGTCTCGTCGACCATCGCTATCACCTTCTCGCCTTCCATTTCGTCCTCCGCGATATCCCCCACAGTATCCGCCGCGGATCGCGCAGATTTGTCGGATTTCGCGCCGTCGATTTTCATTGCCGCGATTCGTCCCTGCCAGTCGATTCGCATCGCCGCTTCGAGCATTTCTCCTGGTGCGGCGACAGCAGCGCGACGGACGGTGCTGTAGGTGTAACTCTTTCCGAACGTCAGTCGCATGATGTTGTTCAGCGTCGCGCGTTTCAAATACCCTCGCATTTGCACGCCTCTCGCATCCCCGTTATTAGCCAATTCCGCTATAGCGTCCAGCATGTCGCGAATCTCTGTCTCGCGAACAGGTAGGCTCTTTTGTAAGGCCCGTGACGAAAAGAGATGCAGCGTCGCCAGCCGTCGCTGCATTCGCCAATGGTCGTTGGACGGCGAAAATACAATGTCGTTCCCGTCGTGCGTCAGGAATGCGAGAAAGGGTAAGAGCGGGCGGGAGGAACAAAACTTATCTTGAATTTTAAGCACCTCGCGAGCCATCTCCGGGGAGGATATAATCACAGACGGTATGGACCCGAGCCACACGGTCATGATCGGACCGAACCTGTCCGCGAGCTTCGCGAGGCCGCGGTACGGCAGGAAGCCCAGGTCCGGAAGATTGCCAAGGATTGGCCACGGAGACGGGCCTGGAGGTAAGGAGGAGCGACGGCGAAGGAAGGCAAGCCATGTTGCCGAGATGTATAACGCGACGGCTGCTATTATCGCCGCGAAAAGCGACGGCATTTGAAGATAATCGCTGCTAGCCCATGCTTCCGGCGCGACAACGAACTGATTGCCCATGTCGCCTGCTGCTGGCTTTCCTCGCAGTCCGCCCCAATGCCTCACTAGGCGCTGTGCTTTCGAAGTTCGACTGCGCTCGCTGATTCATCTGTGTTGGCTAATCTGTCAGCCATGAATTGACTGAACGGAGTGTGGCATATTTGTGTAGAAGCAGACAGAACAGGAGCTTGAACATGGAAGGATCTCGAGAGTGTCACGTGAACATGGAAGAATGCTGGTTCTTTTGATTAAAAAGGGCATTCAGTGCACAGAATGCGTGTTGAAGTTTTTAGAGTAAGGTAGCGAAACGTTCTGTATCGGGGTGAGCGGGGGCGTTATCCAGGTGGTGTTGCGTGGATAACGCTTGAATTTGAGTCAGAAATTTGGTGGCCCTCGTCGGCTCCGACCACAGAGCTCCCCACGTTCCAGGGTCTGCGAATCACTATGACGTCACCTTTTCGAACCTGGCCTTGTAAACTGCCTGCGGTCTGGCCTGGTGGACATGAGCAGCTGTTGGTTGGGTTGCTTTGCACTTGGGGTTACGAAGCTGTCGATGTGGTATACCCGTTTTCGCTAAATTCGCATGCGGATCGAATGGACGGAAGGAAATGACCACCTCGAATCCACCAACCGTCAACTCCCAATCGGAGGGCGAAGATTGACCCTCAAACGGGGGTGCCTGACTGCCTGCTGACTGCCTATCGTCGCCAGACCGATGTGTCGCCGCGTCAGTGCTCCCCCACCACATCCTGCTCGGCCACTCAACGAGGGTTTCGGTGGATAACCTTCGCCCGGCTGACGTGTTTTGCTCTTTCAGACAGACTCACACAATTCAAGCCCTCAGCTCCAGGAAATCCTAGCAGGGACAAGAACCTAGCAGCTCAAGAAAAATGGCTTCCAGCACGGTAGAGAATCTAAGTGACCAGCTTAGGACGGATGGACGGGAGGATAAAATCACTTTGAGGAAATTGGAGTCAGCGAGTCAAGACACTGCTTGTTTGACGAATCGCACTTCCACTGATGACGCAGGGAATTGCACTCTTCGCCTTGCGTCAATTGGAGATGGAGATAGTAAGGACTATGGTCCGCAAAAATCCGAGGGTACGGTTAGGTCAAGCGTGAATCAGACGCATCAGTCGGAGAAACGGCAACGTGAAGAGTCTTACGAGCGCCATGAACCAGACAATCAGGAAGCAGCTGGCGGAGTCCACGATAATCATGGAACCGGGGTATCAAATCCGGCTTCCGATGAAGACCCGGGTGTTGTCGATGAGAAAAGACAGAAGAGGATGTTAAGCAACCGTGAATCGGCGAGACGATCGAGATTAAGAAAGCAGCACCATCTTGACGAGATGAAGCAACAGGTGGGCTCAGATGCGTCTTTATTAACGTGCTTCCGCTTCCTTGAGCCACAATTCTGATTAATTGTGTCAATTTGAACCGGGGATGTTTGCAGGTCGCACAATTACGAGCGGAGAACACTGACATGGTGACAAAGTACAATCTGGCTTCACGACACTATGCTCAGATCACGGACGAGAATCGCGTCCTTAGATCGCACGCAATGGAGCTCAGTCGTCGGTTACAGCGACTACACCACGCGGCAAGTGCTCAGGGTCACACCATGGGCCATGATTTCATGGGTATGACCCATATGGATCCATCCCTGCAGCTTGGTATGGGAGGAATACCTTCCGGCGGTGGCATGCCACATGGTCAGCATCCTGCTATGGCCCACATGTCTCAGATGCAACATCACGTGGCTGGAGCTCATCCTTCCGCTTTTCATTACCAGTTTCCAGGATCCATGACACCCGAGCTTACCCGATGAAGGGGCCGCATTCCATGTTAATACTAACACATTACCGTACGTGCATTCATTCTTGTTCAGTTGTGTGTGTGGTTTAGCTTTTGCTTGTGCCTCTCGTGTGTGAGAAAATGGTGTTGTATATTTTTTGTTTTGAGTTCTGGTTTTGCGCATCCAAGATTCAGATTTCAGAATTGTGTGGTGGTAGCTCTTATCAATTGTGTCGCCTCACCTCACCAAAAGCAAAGCAAGATGTAAGGAGCCAATTTAAAACACGCCAACTAACCTTGTTCACCGCCTGGTTTACCACCAGACACGGCAAGGGACAGCAAGAAACTTGCTGGTGTTTTGACAGTGGAAATGCAGTGCACTAATCAAGCCAGTCATTTTCTATACATATACCCGGTTATATATATCGGACCATGAACACCTGGCTGGCAGGCACCCAACGTACGCAGGTGTGTCATCTACAGGGCCTCAGATTCGTTTTGGCGTAGGCTGACTGGTCAAACTTAGGTGTGTGTCAATGGCTGATCGCTCAGTGTAGTTGTTTAAAAAAAGCCTGAGTTTTCAGGCTGTATGTCATAAAAAAAACTGATCGATCAGCGTCACCATTTGGTAAAGACTGATCCATTTTCCACACTTAGTTTTCATTTTTTTGCATTGATAAAACAAACGGTTACAGTAAATCTAGTGAAACATATCGTTGTTGGAAACAATTAATTGCAAGCGCCTCTGTCGTGTCGAAACACCAAGTCAGAAGCGAAGCAAAGCATATCGAAGCACTGGCGAGTCAACCCTCGGAGGTTGAGCAGTTGCTGGAGGTTACGCGAAAGTCAAAGGTCAGCGACCTTTGACCTGACAAGTGCAGCGCGACAGCAAGGACACACAACTGACTCGCCACAGAGCAGTTGCCCGAGTCGTCACTGTATCGAACCGCAACAGCAACAGTAAAGTAGTTGCAACCGTATCTCTTCGTATTCCTTGTACTCTTATATAATCTTGTACCTCTTTGCTTCAATCAATCTACTTTGCCCTCACATACTAGCGCAAGGTGGTTCACAGACTTATCGTTAAACGCTTCCGCTATTACATCAATCCTACTCAGAGTTTAGTCCTGCAAAGATCCTAAGGGCTTCCTCTCAGCCCAACATGGTATGAGAGCAAACAGGGCGAACTCAACTACCATCAAGTTATCTACAACGTCAGAAGGCATGGCAACACAAAAGGAAAGGAGCTCCTCTAACGGGTCCCCGGGTACTACTCCTACTCCACCTCCTGCCTCTGGCCTACAGACAGAGGAGGGTACGGCAACAAGACCAAGAGCAACGTCTACTGAGACTCCTGCGAATCAACCTACAGGCTTCGACCCAAGCATGATGGAGAAGTTCTTCTCCTTCATGTCCTTCTACGAGCAACATCAACAAACGGCACCTGCGCAGTCAAACATTAGCAACAACAACAACGACGTCACGCCCATGAGCCTTGATGGTTCATCCTATGCGCGCGGAAACCAGCAGCAACCTACCTTCGCCCCGTATGAACCTCACCGTGGCTCCGTCAGCTTTATGCCACAACCACAGCTTGCATCTGGACAAGAGAAGACACTGGACGCACTTCAAGTTCAGTCGCAGTTCGCGCACGTCTTAAAACTGCAGACGTCAAGGCCCTTTCGACGGAAAGGACTTCTTCACCTGGTCATTCGAGTTCGAATTGATGATGGAAGGCGCGCAGATTCTTGGCTTCTTCGACGGATCCCTGCCATACCCAACACACGGGACACAATATGACAAGCAGCAGTACACTTATCAGTCGATGATGGCATACACAATTCTACTACGCAACGTCACGCCAACCCAACAGCAGAACATCCGGTCTTATCGAGGATACGGGAACTCTGCCGAGCTTGCGTACAACCACCTGAAGAACCTGTATCAGGCAACAGACAGCGTCAACCAAAGTCGGTTAATGGCACAACTGACAACAGTGGAAATGAAACCGGACGAAAAGGGGATGGCGTATATCAGTCGCTGCCGCAAATTGCGCGACAGACTTCTTCGATGTGGAGGTTCAATTTCGGAAGAAGCCTTCGTCACAGTCGTCATCACCGGACTTGGTCCTCATTGGCGCTCCACTCGAGCCATTCTCCGAGCTCACGGGAAGATTTCCGAAGCAGCACTCTGCGCCGAAATTCACGCCGAGCAGCAAGACATGGACCTGCAAGAGGAGCGGCACAAGAAGAAAACATCAGTTCCCGAATTCGCGTTTCACACTCAACGGCGCTACAACAACAACAACAACCGGCATCAACCAAAACCCGTACCTCCGTTTTGTCACCTCTGCAAGACTTCAGGACATCCGCGCACACACTGCCCGAATCGACAACAGTCAACACCGCCACAGCGACAGCTTCGACCTTCAAGCAGCCAAGTCGCTTCAACACATGCGAACCCCACCGCTCAAGTTCAAACAACATCAACGGGACAACCTGCACAAGGCGCAAGAAACATCGTCAGTTGTATGGCAAGACTGAGCGACTCCTGCATCACCGAGTCACCGCCACACTACTCACCGGAGGAGCAACTCGACAACTCCACACCTCGCCGCGAGTCACTTCAACCGAACCCAACGTACGCAGCCATCGCCCAGAGTGAGCCGTCCGGGAAAGATACTTGGTTCTTGGATAGTTGCCGCGGGCAGCACATGTGCTCTTCGGGACGTTTCGTTCAGCGCGAGCACCAACTTCAACGCGAAGTCGTCATTACCGTCGCCAACAATCAAAACCTGCGCACACGACGACAAGGCGTGGTTCAACTTTAGTCAAGGGAGACAAACGTTATACTGCAGATGTCAAAGGTCTTAATCGCGGAGGGACTCGGCTACAACTTACTGAGCGTCAGCCAGCTGATGGCGAAAGGCATCCACCTCGAAGCAGACAGCACAACACAGGAGTTCAAACTGTACCACGGGAAAGGAGGCCTTTACATCGGCAAGGCTGTGCTGAAGAACAACGTGTTCGTTCTCGACTTTGTTCCAGATCTAGGCACCGCCGACAGCGACGGAATCGTCACCTTCACCTCCTGGACGCACCCACCGGATCTTGATCCTGACTTCAGCCCCGAAGGTTTCTGGTATTCGCATACCATTCCTGAGGCAGAACGAACAAGAGCATTAGCAACGATTCAACACACGGCAGCAGCAGAGACAACATCGGCAGCAGCAGAGACAACATCGGCAGCAGCAGAGACAACATCGGCAGCAGCAGAGACAACATCGGCAGCAGCAGAGACAACATCGGCAGCAGCAGAGACAACGTCGGCAGCAGCAGAGACAACATCAGCACCAATCGCGGGTCCTTCAACTGCACCAGCCCCAATCGACGACGACATCCCACCGACTCCAGCGCAGCAGCTGAATCCAACTCCTCGAGAAGTCCACCGAAGTACGAATCTCACCGCCAGTTTTTATTCCAACTCCGATCTGTACAGACGCTCACCCGGACATCGCGCCGACGAAGATCTCTGGCATAAAAGAATGGGACATCCGAGCAACACGACGTTAAACAACACGATAAGAGCAGGCGTTTTTTACAAAGATTCACTACTTCTACCCGACGGCAGAGAAATTCGACGAATGAGAGGAACCTGCTTCACCTGCCCAGAAGCCGACTTACCGCATCAGCCCTTCATCTCTCACCACAACCCGAGCGCACCAGCTTACGCACCACTTGAAAAGGTGTACAGCGACATCCTGTACAATCGCGAACCTGGACAAGCGGCATACAACTATACCATCACGTTCATCGACGCCGCCACTTGTTATGTCTGGCATCTCAACCTTCCAAGCCGCGACATGGCCTTCGAAGCCTTCGTAGCCTGGCTCCCAGTAGCAGAACGGGAATCGGGAGTTAAGCTGAAGAGTTTTCAGTCTGACGGAGGAGGAGAATACACCTCACAGAGGTTCAAGCAGTACTTGGCAGAGAGAGGAATCAAGCGGCTCATCTCCCTTCCCTACGCCCATCAACAGCAGGGTGTGGCAGAAAGAATGAACAGGACCCTTCAGAACACCATGCGCAAGCTGTTACGTGGCATGCGGCTACCCAAACACCAGTGGCCCGAAGCAATGGACCACACCGTGATGCTGCACAACTTGCTTTCGTCATCATCGCTTCCGAACAACGCATCACCGCATCTGCTGTGGACAGGAAAATTGGGCAGCACAAAAATGTTGCGGAATTTCGGCTGCATGGTACAGTACCGACCCCCAGCTGCACGCGCTGGCCGATTCTCACAACGCGCACAGTGGGGGCTACACCTGGGCATCGAAAAGAATTACAACGCGTGGAAAATTTTTGACGTCCACTCAAAGGAAACAATAGCAGCACGTGATGTCATTTTCTACGAGCGACTCACCCTCTCAACGTACCTGTACAACTTGGAGACCTCACGAGATGTCACAGGTGGATTTCGTGGGGACCGAGCCTTCGCTTCGGCAGAAGATGAAGCTGACCTGGACGAACAAAACGTGGAAGGAGCCTCGGAGGAAGCCGGACCTCTCCCCTACTGCTCGGTCGATGTTCCGATGGACGACGAAAATCCACGCGACAGCATCAACGCCGAAGTGTACTATCACTTCGCCGACAACGGTTACGTTACACCTGCACAGGTCAACACCGACGAAGCAGAACGCGTAGGACCAAATTTCAATCCTACACAAGAAGCGGGAGACGAAGCAGTTTATCCCGAGGATACTTCACTCCCCCGCTACACACAAAGTGGACTCCAGATACTCGGCCTCGTCACCGCGGTTCACGGCACGGCGATTCCTAGGGAGCCTGCCACAGTTCAGCAGGCTCTGGGGGGGGAGCATAAAGAAAAATGGCGCGAAGCCATGGACAAGGAGCTGAAAGCACTAGAGGAGCGCAACACCTGGAAAGTTGTTCCCATCGGAGTGGCACGAAACAAGACTATACTCACCGGGAAGTGGGTCTTCCGTGTGAAGACAAAGGCGGACGGCACCATCGA